GGGGGGGGGGGGGGGGGGGGGGGGTGTACTCATAGTCGTGCATGCCGTAGTCGTTTGACCATTGACCTCGCATCCCTACAAAGCCGGGACGGAGCACGCCGGGTTCTCACCGGACCAGGCTCTCACATCACCAAGCTCGAAGCGCCGTGAGGTATTTGGCGAGTCGCAAGAAGGGTGAGCTGCATCCTGCTAAGGGTGTTCGGCATATTGTGCTTACTTCCTTGCGTACGGATGACAGCTACGTATGACTTCATTTATTTTCTGGTGCTTTCACTTCCAGAGACAGTTGTAAGCACTGTGTAACTGCCTCGAGGAAGCTTGACCATTTTAACACAACGTGGTGCGGTTGGGGCGGGGGGGGGGGGAAGGGAAGAAGGGTGAACGGCAGGGTGAGAAGGCGCGTGTAGTGGTGTTGGGCTGGTCAGTTTTTTTTCGGGTTGAGAGGACCCGGGAGGCGATTGCACGTTCGCCGCTACGAGGACGGGGGGATTGTTGGTATGTGTGGCGTGTATCCTTTCTATCGTTAGAGTTGCTGTGTTTTGTGTGTTGTCCCAGTGTGCCACTTGGTTGCTATTACGTTGTTGTCGCTTTTCCTCATCATGTCGTTTGTTGTCATCGTCGGATGTCTTTCCGGCGTGCTGCCTCTCTTTCGTGAGAACAGTCGGATATAGCACAGATGTGGTGTGGAGGTTGCCAAACGCATTTCGTGATGTGCGTTCAGGGCTAGGGTAAGCACACAAATACCCCTGTGTCCGGGTATTCTTTCCTGAAGGTAATTTTGTGTACTGTTAGTGATTATGATTGCTCCAGGTTGACTCTTATGACCCTAGACTGGAACAACAACATGGTTTGGGCGTCACGCGTCCACACAGCAGTGGTAGGCATATCGGGAAACGACCCGCGTTAAAAAATCAATTTACCTTGTCTCTTGGTCTCTTCCGCCCTATGTATCTACGAAAGTGTGTAATCCATTTGTCAAACAACCACAGACAATAAAACAAATAGTGTAGTGCTGTGTGCATACGTGTCTCAATAACACAGATGAAATCAAGCGTGCGCCACCTTTCCTCTTCGTCTCTTCCTCCCTGTGTATCTACAAAGGCACGTGGTCCATTTGTCAAACACCAGCTAGCAAAACAAAGAAGGCACTGTATACTACGTGGCTCAAGAAAGCAAACACGAGACCACCAACTGGTGCCCGAAAACCCGTCAGGTGGCGTCGCAGCAGGCCTCTCCCACCACCCCGGGAAAGGAAAGGCTGGTGGTTTGGCGCAAGCAACGGCATCGGGCGAGGCGCAGCCGACACAGGCGACCGACCACTACAGGGGTCATGAGGTCTTCTTGCCTGCTGTTGGCGGGGCTGTTGGGGCGCATCACCCGCCTCGTCGCCGCAGGCGAGAATGCTTCCTTGCGCGGCGGCAGCGTTAGTGGCGACGACGTGCTTCGCGGCCAAGACGGCCATAGATTGCCGGCAGAAATATCGGACGTGACCTGGAATGCCCGAGAGCTAGTGGAGAGCGAACCCTCCTCTCCAGAAGGAATCCTAATATTGGCGCAGGGGAGGTCCGGCTCGACGATGCTGGGGGAATTATTCCGCCACAACGAGGTATTCAAGTGTAAAGATAGCTCGCCGTGCCATGTGTGCGAATCAGTTTTGCGTACTGCACACTGTATTCCGGATCAGATACACAAAAAGAAGAGCAGAAGGAACAGAAATTGTTTCAGTGCGTCTTGAGGGCTTACAGCCTGAAGGGACCAGTCTCGTTTTTCTCTTTTCGCAAGGACTAATGTTCCCCGACACGCGGCTGTTTGTGGTGATTATGTCGTACAAATTGTCTATGGCGAAATCACACGGGTGTTTCATCAACACGTTTTATCATCGCGCGGCGTATTGCTACCGATCCCAGTGCTGCGCATTGGACACGTCTTCGTTCGTTCCTGGTGCGGTTGCAGTAGAAGTTGGCCAGAGTAAGGGCTTGCGCACACGGCACTGCTGGAAGCGTTATGCACAACGGCATCGCGTGGGTTTCGTGTGCAGATAAGCATGTGGAAAACACGATTAGAAGTGTTTGCCTGTGTGCACGCACACAAAAGCATCCTCCCAACTTTTCGCCTGCTGCGCCCCTGACGTGCTCACACTCTTTCCTCCACAAGGACCTGCTGTACTTCTACGAGCCGTGCAGGCAAAGAGGGCAGGGGGTTTTGGGAGGCCTCCATGAAACCTCAAGCGTAGGCGGGCCGGAATGTTTCGCTCTCATTCGAAGGTAACACAAAGCCGTTCATCCGCACCAACGTACAATATGTGATGGCGTGTTGCATTGCACTGCAGTAGTTTAGGCCGACGTGAGAACTTGGAGTCAGTCATTTCAACACGATTTTCATCGTTTTATCCACTCTTGCTTTCGCTCTTGTTTGTCACTTTCGATGCCGTTATTTGGCTATCAACCCCGCCCGGTGTCGCGTACAAGTTTTGTGTGTGCGATCGCCGAAAACAAAATGGCCCCACTGCGATATTTGACATGCAGGCGCGAGACAGATTTCGTGTTGCGATGCGACACAAGTGTGTTGACCCGCCCGCCGCCTGTATTGTCCCGCTATTCAGCCGCAACCGCACGCCACGTCAAAAACGCCGACGACGGTGGTCGGGGAATAGAGATATGGCAGCAACAGCTCGACTGATAGGCTAAAGAAGGACACCCTCTGTCCGACATGCCTGAAATACCGGGGATATAGTTGTCTTGCCTTGTCGTCTACCCCATCGGAGTTTTCTTTTTTGCTATTGTGTTCAGCGGAAGATGAAATTTTGCAATCTTGGTATTCCCCGTTTTCATTTTCCTTTCGTGCCCTTTGAGGAAGTTGTCGGATGGCGTACAGGTCAACATAGAACTGGTATTGCCCCCTGATGAAACGTATTTACCGGATGCTGGCTTGCAAGTGAACACACACACACACACACACACACACAAAAAAAAAACAAGGAGGACAATGGTGAAAGTACTCCTAAACGAACTAGAGTACAAGGTAATAGCCTTGGTAGACGCGTCCAGTTTTCTTCTGTTGCTGCTGTTTCTGTCTTTGATCCGAAGGAATATTTAGCCTCCCCCATGCTGCCCCTCACGGGGTCCCAGTTCATGGCAGATAGAAGTGTTTTGTGTTTTCAACCGCACTGAGACTGACGTCTTTTCATTGGTCAGCCGGTTAGCGCGGTCGATGCTAATAATAAAAACAAAACAAAACAAAACACACACACACACACACACACACACACACACACAAGTGTGGCATCGGCTGCATGGCCGCCTTCGTTCGGAAGCCCACTACAATAGCAACGCGGCGGTGTTTTTGAGGGAAAATGTCTTCCATCCATGGTGTAGACAGAAAGAACAACAAACCTTCATAGCTCCGCCAACAACGCGCCGCCAACGCATCAACCCTGCCTCTCCGGCGCCGTGAAAAATCGACACGCCCATTCGCAGGCTCCTCCGGTGCGAGTTCACCCTGCAAGACACGGACGGGATTTCGGCAGACCGGGCGGCCGCGGAAGCCTCCTCGCCGGTGGTCGAGGAGCCGACGAGGGCGACGCGCGACGATGGCACGGAGGTTGCGAAACGCCAAGAGGCGCTTCATGTTGCACACGAGACGATCATGGAGGCTTGCAAGAGCAGTAGGTAGGGGGTGGCAAGAGAGTACAGGTGAAGGAGACGGCGCGGCGGCGTTTCGCGCGATACGACAAAACGAGCGAATCCCGTTGGATTTGTCCTAGGTGCCGAGCAAGAAGTGCATGTCACCGAAAATATTCGGCGGAAGCTTTTGTGATGGTCAAGCTTTCGGCACATTAAGGGTTTAGGAGGGCGGGGAGATCTTCTTGCGAGCGATAGACAGAGACAAGAGACAGAAACCGCCCTGTTCTCGACTGGTGCATCGCTTGAAGCCCTCACCGCGGCAGGATACTGCTTTTGAGATTACCCTTGGTGATGGGCCACACACAACAGATGTTGACACAGCTACGAGCAACATCGCTGGCAATCATCGATCGTTCGTCCAGTTGTTGAGACCTAAACCTCTACGCACCCACGTGCCCAACTCCTACAGGGCTGTAGTTGTCAAGAGCATTCGCCTGCACGACGGATTGGACGGCCCCGAGTACGATACATCGGGCCTGCACGTTCTTCAGCTGGTCCGGGACCCCCGCGGCGTCGTCAACTCTCAGATGGGTTTATGGAACAATCCGAGTAAGACCGGGGGAAACGGCGGCGACGTTGATCCGGCACAAGCGGCGAGGAAATCCGGGCGAACCCTGGGAGCAGTGTGAGTTCAGTTGCCCTATGGCTCCCTGCTCTTGAATGCCAGCATATATGACAATTAAAGGGTCAGTCCTGCGCGTGGAGCTGCTGGAACAAGCGACGAAAAGGAGTAGAAGCATATTAAAAATGGAGGGTCGCACGGTTGAGCTAGGGTACTACAATATGCCGTAATTTCGTTTCCCGAGAGCCGTTGAGCGCCCCCATCCACGCCAGCGATTTGGCCGAATCGTATGGGACTACCCCATGTTGCAGAAACACCTTGATAAAGCCCGCCTGGAGCTACCCGCGAGATGGCCTCAAGAGTCCGACACCTACCGAAGAGGCGGAGAGATGGCACCCCCCCTAGACCGTCTTTCAAAGCTCGTTTGCTCCACAGCCAACCGGGTACGGATAGAGCCCCATACGTCCGGGGAAAGCCCTCGACGAGATGCTTGTAAACCCACCAGAGAGAGAGAAAAGGTGCCCGCAGTTTTCTGATTGGCCAATTTTTGTGAAAGGAAATTTTTATCTACAAGCTTGGTTATGGAGCAATGCAGCTTTGAAAATCGGTTCAGGGGGGTTGCCATCTCTCCGCCTCACACGATAATCCCAGTAGAATCGTGGTAACAAGAACACATCGCATGAAGCGACCTTCCAGCCTTGGACGTCCTGACTTGACTTGGACACTTGCCCGCCTGTTTTTGGCGACGTTGTGGGTGATGGGAGAGATGCTACTGTCGGCGGTTCTGATTTTTTCCCTATGAACTCAAGCCTGTGAGGGGTACCTCCGCCAGTCGATGGATGCATATGATCTGGTGAAAACTGCTGCGGAAACGTCGTAACCGTAACACCAACCCTAAGGAGACAGGCGATTGTGACAAGAATTCAAGAGGGAGGGATGGGGGAAGATAGGTATGAGCATTCTAACAAGAACCTGGTTCGTACTCAGCATGCCAGAAACGCCAGGAGCTCCCGACAATCTGCAGTGCCCCACAACATTTTTTTGCGACCCCCCCCCTTCGTCTGGATGAACACCGCAGCGTCTGCAAAAGTTACCGGAAGCAGCTGGACTCCTTTCAACAGCTAGGACCAGAAAGGTAGGCCAGGCAGGGAACGCTCCGGAAGCTGGTGGTTAAGAAAGTGCATTCCGTACGTACATGGCACCAGATTGCCTTTTGATCACGAACGGTGTCGAGCTCAATGTGCTTGGCCCAGAACCTCCAACAGGCAGCTTCTGTGCACGATGTATCGATCGAGTGGATTTACTGTATTTCTGTCATGCTTGGTCGTGTCAGCAGGAACGCAGCGAAAAATTCGTTTGAATTATATATGTGTTCGACTTTCTTGTCTGGTTTGTTTTTCTAGACCTTCGAGTTTCGTTCACGTCCTTCGGAGCTCGCGCAGAAACATACGTACCTGCCTTCGACGATTCCATCTGATCGGGATTATTTACTTGCTGTGTACGTCGGCCAAAGAAAACACCTGTTGTATCATTTTTCTTGGCGCCAGCAGCAAGTATCTCCGTCTCCGGTACGAAGACTTCACCACGCTCCCGAAGGTCGTCGCGGAGCTCGTGTACTGCCGGTTCGGCCTCGGGGAGGTTCCCGCCACCGTAACGGGCTGGATAAACTACAACACCAGGATGCCCGCCTGCAAGGAAAGCGATAACCCAACACGCCGCTTGGCCGCCCTGAACTCGATCGTGCTGGGAGCAATCGACGACGAGACTCCTGGGGAAGAAGGCCTCGGGTGGCTCGACGCGAGACGGCGGCTGGAAACGGCGGTTCGAGTGGACGCCCACGTGAAAACCAGGGAAGGCGTTGGTCAGGGTGAGCAAAGCGGGGAGAAGTGCAACGAAAACAACCAGCAGGCGGCTAAGAACCCGTACGGTACGCGCAGGCACTCCTCGGCCATGGCGGACCTGTGGCGGAGCCAAATGCCCGAGGATATGGTGGAGATCGTGTGGGACGCTTGTCAGGATTCCGGCGTCATGCCCGAAATGGACTACCTCATCTAGGGAGAGCAGAGCTCGGGCCTGTCGGGTTTCTTCTTCAGGAAAAATATGGTCCCGTTTCGAAGTTTGCGGCACATGGGGTGTATAGGAGGGTTAGTTTTACTCCTTGAGGTGGCCTTATGGGCGACTTCGAAAACCTGCTGGTGCGTATGTTCGTTCGAGTGCCGTCGAAGTGATGAGGGGTTCCGCTGGCGGTACGTCTTCTTGCTCAGGAAAGCGCCTATCGTTCCGTGGTGAGTTCCTCTTTTGTGCCGGTTGAATAGTGACGGTGCCGGGTGTAGTACCGGTGTTTTCGGCGGGCACACTCTGAATTTCTGAGACATTCTCAACACTTTGAATAGTGATGGTCCGGAACATGTGCCGGTGGATTTTCTGGGCACATACCGGCACTAAACAGGGACCTCTACTACTGTGTGTACACGCAAGGGAACCTTCTTATCGATGTTAAAAATAGTTATGTCATGTGCCGCAAAGGAATCTATTCTTCTGTGCGGCTCCGGGTGGGAGCTCTTCAGTTGGAGAGGCATGGCCGTACCATAGGTAGAAGCTGCGAGTGATAAGTTTCGAGACGGCACAAACAATACAAAGGTTCCGGGCTATAGTCTAGACGAGGAGAATCCATGGTAAAGGTTTTCTCTGTCGTATAAGACGTGAAGGTTACAGGGGGGTGGGAGTGCGTGTGGGCCCAGCTTCATCATGTGCAAGTGAGGGCTGTACTGGGCAATTGGCCGCAAAGGCACGCCCGTTACGCTCGCGCGTTTTTTCGCGAGGGCTCGATGTATGTGTGCGTGTGTGTGTATCGTTATCATCTCGTGTGTGTGCGTGTGTGTTTGTTATCTTAGCATCAACCGCGCTAACCGGCTGACCTGTGCTTGATATGGTCCATTTTGCTTTGGACGTCAGTTTTTTAGCACGCGAGTTGGGTGTTTTTCTCGCGCGTCAGCTAGTACACGTCAGTTTTTTTTTTTAAGTGTTGGTTGTGTGTGTTTTCCGGACGCACGTGTGAGCTGAGGTTAGACATGTCTAGAGTTAGTTGCGGTTTGTTACGACTGTTCCTATCTAAGGCTTTAACGCCCGCTGATTGGTCGAGCGGTCTTGTTCTTCCAGCACCCTCTCTCTGTTCCGTACTCCGAGAACGAATGCAGCTGCAGTTCTCGCCCAGTTTTCGGCCACCAGGCCCTCCGTTGGCCGTGGGTGAGGGTATGGGGGTGGGTCGTGTCGGTCACGGTGGGCAGATATATACTGTATCCTGTCCGGGACAGAACATGCTGTAGGAACAGAACATAGAAGCCCTGTTTGCTCCATGTGTATTTAGTCTCTTGTTTTTTATCCGCAAGCCCCTCTCATACCACCGGGATGTCTGCGGAGGGTGGGGCTCGTTGGTTGGTGTAAACCCGAATATGAGCACGATTCACTTCGTCGGAGCGGTGCAATAGCAGCTCCTTGAAGTGCTTGTAGGGGGTACGATACTACAGTAGTGAGAGTCGTTTTCGTGATACAGAGCTTGAGTCGGAGCTGTCGTAGGCTCTACTTCCCCTTTCCATGTTGGGTTGCTTACCCGACCCGTGTGTCGGTTTTGGACATCATTGCTTGACGTGGGACATTCCGATGCGCGACTAAAAATATTGTGATTCGAAGTCAGCCGTCGAGTGGGCGGAAGCCCCTGTTTCTTCTAGGATATATTGTGAAGTAGCTGGACTTTAGTCCGTTTTTCTGCTTGTGTTTCTGGGTCATTTTGATTGTATTTCGTACCATCCTCACGGCCATGTCATGGTTGGTTGTAACGTTCGCATTGATCGGACGTATTGGTGCGCGGATATTATTCAAAAGCCTACATACATAAAGTGTTTGTTTTTGAAAGTTCGGAAATTCTCAAATAAAATGTTGTCCCTAAGAGGAGATGCGTAAGTTTTGCGAAGAATGATCACCCTGGGGATAATCAAGAGGTACATCCGTCGGGGGATCTGCCGATACTGAACAAGCACACACCCGGGGTTAGAGTTTCCCTGTGGATTGAACAACGCGAAACGCACGTACTGTATTATTGTCACCAGCGACGTGTTATATTCTTCTTGTCTTGTCACGCCTTGGTGCCCTGCGACCCTGGTCTCCAACAAGACCATGTGCTACGTGCCAGCTTCACCGCGATGCGAAGTGCACAGTCCGATGATCGTGGCGTGCATCATAATGAACAAACCAGCAGCGCAGAAATTACTCACTGTTGCTCTACGGTAGGGTCAGCATAAAAGAGGAGTCTGGACGTCTTTTCGAGCTTGGCTTTCCGGGCGAAACCGAGTCGTCTCCGAGAGCCAAAAAATATCGTCCGAGCATGATCCAAGGACGGACCGCCGATGTTGGTTCGAAGTGCTGTCTTGTTCCTCGTACGATGAGGTCGTGAAACGGTCCACACAGCACCCAACGAACATCAGCAGCGAGGGGTACCGATTACGGTAAATGCGTCCGATGACCGACGGATACCTTGTGAACGGATCCATCCTTGTTTTTATCCACCCAGAGAATTTACCCACTGACGTGGGAACCATTGGGACCAGGCCGGGTACTTCGATTGTCGAGTCATAGAAGAGTTGTCAACAATTCGTGTTAGGGTCGGGTCCAGGAAGTGCTCTGATAATTCTGTATAGCTTTCTCTCTTGTTGGAAATGTTCAAAGTCGGGAACATGTACGAACACTCAACCGGATATCCAAGCAGTATTATCCTCGACGACGCCAAATGCGAAGGTTTGTCGATTACGACCAATCAAGTCAAATGACGAATACCTCGGGTAAACGGGTCCTTCTTAACACAGCCAGTCAGCGAGCGAGCGCCCTTGCGACATCTGCTGCTCAACATATGATTTTGGTGGTCCGGGGTAGCGCCCAGAGGCTGAACCGAAGCCCCACCCCCCGCAGCCTCGCGGGAGAGACGGAAAGCACCTGCGAACATTTCGCCATGAAAAGTCGTTCATTCCCGAATACAGATCTCTTTCAGAGGAGATAATTGGGTGACATTGAGAGCCAGGAAAAAATAAATTACGAGCTCGCCAAAACAACCCGCTCTCGGCACTCGCCGGTGAAGATGACCAAGGCTCAAAGAAAATGCTGGTTCTCTGTCAAAAGGCCAAATACTCTGTCTACTCCAGAAGTATGGTCTTGGTGCCGTACAGCAAGACGAGGATCGGGTATGAACTTAGTTGTTGTTGTTGTTGTTGTTGTCTTCACATTAAAAACCGTTCCGATCTCTCTCTACCCAGTACCTTCGTATGTCCGTACTGATCCAACACTCGACGCGGTCGATTCCCGTGGTCACAGGTTAACTTACCCTAAAAAGGTACACTCAAATAAACTGGCCCCGAGGGGTCCGCAAGTCAATAGAAATCAACGACAGATATTCTCTAATCCTCCACTCCCTCTTCGCGCTATGCGAGGTATATCAACTGAGACTAGCAGTCACTATCTATCATGGGCCGGAGAGAAAGAGGTACACCCCCTTGGTTCAATCTTGGTACTTCACAACGCAAGCAGAGACAAGGCCATCTGGCACAGAAAAAGAGAGAAAAAAGAGAGAAAAAAAAGAGAAAAAAGAGAAAAATCGAAACCGTAAGGAGAAGAGAAAATAGAAATAAAATGAAAATAAATGAAAAAGGGCGAGGACAAAGAGGGACCAGGCCGAAAATAACAAGAAGTATGAGGCAGAACAAGGCACACGGTGGAGAGACCACTAACGAACAAGCAAACACGCAAACATGGCCACCAACCAGCGATACATTGTACTGGTACGAAATCACTACTGGGGGGTTGGTGCAATGGTGCAGCGTTGGGGCGGGGGAATTGGCTAAAAGAAAATCAATCCGGCACGTGTCGTGCCACTCGGTCCGTCTCTTCTCGTTTGCTTTCTTCCCTCGCCGTCTCGTCCGTGTCCTGCCCCCCTCCCGCCCCATTGGTTGTTGGCTTGTGGTTTCGTTTGAGCGCTCGTTGTCGACTGGCCTCTTCTTCCTTCTCATGCCAGGAGGTCATGAACCTCTCAGCACCCTGCAGCACCGCCGCATGCCAGGGTACTCCCCCCTCCACCTTCGCGGCTTCCGTCCACCTTGACTTCGGTGCCGTGTCTTTCGGTACGGGAATTCCGAGACAACTTGGGTCGGTTTTCGTAGATCCGTGGTCGGCCCCGAAGGCCTTCAGGTCGTCGAGCACACACTTCGGCCAGTTCTGTTCCTGTCCCCCCCTACGTGGCTTCTCCCCCCCCGCCAGCTCGCCGAGCATCAGTCGTTTCGGGAGTCGCCCGTCCGGCTGCCTTGCCAGTGCTCCCGCGAACAGTAGGCGTCGTTGTCGGATCGTGGCTTCAACGCTCTGGCATTCGACCCTCTTCAGCGTCTGGGCGTACGAGAGCTGCCGGTAGGTGTCCTTCCTGCGCTTGTACCCGATAACTCGAAGGAGCAGTCGGTGGTGTGTCGACCGCAGCGTCTGATAGTGGCGGCTGAGTGGTGACCATGTCATGCAGCCGTACAGCAGTGCCTCCATCGCCTCCGCCTGGAGGAGGCGGATCTTGAGTCGGAATGGCGCTTTCGGTCTGTCGAAGAGCTCCTGGCCATATCGCCTGAGGCACGCCCACGCTCCTCTGCTCCTGTAGCTGATCTCCCGGGTGAGGTCGCCATGTTCGTTGACGAGGCCACCGAGGTACCGGAACTCGGTCGTCTGGGCGTATTTCTGTCCCGCGGCTTCGATAGTCAGTGGTGGAGAAGGAGGCGGGGGGGACTGTGATGTTGCAGTCGGCTTGTCCTTCGCGCGCATCAGGAGCGTCTCCGTCTTCTTCTCCGACACCGTTAGCCCGAACTCTCCGAACACCTCAACGATGATGGTCATCATTCTCGCCAATCCTTCTGCAGACCTCGATACGACGCCGGCATCATCGGCATACAGCATCCCCCATACTGCCCTCCGTACTCGGTCAAGGGGTGTCTCCTCCCCCCCCCCCCGCTTCCGTCTTCCCCTCCTCCAAGCACACCAGATTCCGCATAACAACATCATCCTCGCTGAATCGGATAACGACGACCTCGAGGACCTCGGCGAAGAAGATGTTGAACAGCAGTGGGGATAGCACACATCCTTGTCGCACACCCTGTGTGACGAAGAACCAGTCCGATAGTTCTCCGTCATCCATACGCACCCGGGCCCGCATTCCATCGTGGAATTGGCGGATGACTTTGATTAGCTTCGCGGGAATCCCGGCCCTGGCCAGCACCTTCCATAGCATCTCTCGGTCCACCGAATCATACGCCTTCTTCAAGTCGACGAAGCACATGTAGAGCGGTATTTTCTTTCTCCGCCCCAGCTCCTGGAGGCGACGCACGACAAACAGCATGTCGACGGTGGATCGCCCGGGTCGAAATCCGCACTGTTCCTCCGGGAGGATGTTGTTGGCTTCGCAGTAGGCGCTTAGACGGTTGGTGATGATCTTGATGGGAACCTTGCCTACGTGAGATAGTAGCGAAATCCCCCTGTAGTTGTTACAGTTGGACCGGTCACCCTTCTTGAACAGCACCTTGATGGTTGCGTCCTTCCACTCTTGGGGGATATCTCCTCCGTTCCACACCTTGACGAGGATGGTATGGAGGTGTCTCAGGACAACGGGTTCGTCGTCATCGATCTTGAGCAATTCGGCAGGGAGGGAGTCATGGCCGGGTGCCTTCCAGTTCTTGAGGCCTTTCGCTGCCCGTGTCACCTCCTCGAGATCTGGCACCTCTCCCAACCGCTGACTGTCACGTGTCGCTGGCCGCTGCGTCACTCGTTCGATGATGTCTGGGTTCAGGGTGGGGGATTTAGTGTTGAGTAGGGTGCTGAAGAATCTCGCCCACCGTTGGAGGATGTCGTCCCTGTTCCGGAGCAACACGCCGTTCTCATCCGCGACGAACTGCTGTCCCCCCGCTTGTCTCCCGCTGAGGCCCACTGATCTCTTGAGGTGTTGGTACAGTCCTCTCATGTCGCGATCTTTGTAGATTGCTTCGAGTTCAGTCACATATCCGTCCAGGTGGGCATAAATGCCCGTTTCGACTGCTGTAGCCACTCCCTTACACGCTGCTTTGAGAGTTCTCCACGTTGCTGAGTTCCAGTTGCCCCCCATCGCCCGGCGCGCTTCCCGCCGTGCGGTAAGGGCCTCCTCCAGCACTGCTCTCGTCTCTGGGGTCTCACACCACCCCTGCGTGCGACGTCTCCGCGGTTCCTCCCCTAGGGTCGTCCGTGCTGCTTCGAGGAGAGCATTGGTAAAGTCGGTCACCAATTCCGCGGCGGTGGTTGTTCGTTCGTCCAGTCGTGTGTCGAGGTTGAGGAGGAACCGATCAGTCACCGCACCTCGTGCTGTTTCGAACTGCAATTCCCGTCGGTTGAATTGCTGCTGTTTCGGTTTAGTCCGGACTCCACGGTTGTGGGCAAGCCTGCCACCGAGGTTGACGGTGGCTACTACCATGTTGTGGTCTGAGTCTGCTTTGACTGGGCGAACCGGCTGGGGGGTGACAACCACGTTAGATACTCGGCCGTGATGTGCCTGCCTTGTCAGGATGTAGTCAAGTCGCTTGCAATCGTTTCCCGACACACCGTTGTATGTGTGCCATATTCCGCCCTTGCGTGTCTCGAAGAACGTGTTCGTGAGAGCTAGCCTGTTTTCCGTTGCGAAATTCAACAGTAGCATGCCATTGTCGTTGAGCTCATCACGCCCGTACATTCCTATTACCCTTCCGTCCCCTCCGTCCAACCTATCTCCCGTCCGCGCGTTGGCATCCAATAGAACATACACACATTCTTTGGAAGGGATCCTCCGCACGAGACTGTCAAGTTTTCCCCAGAACACGCGCTTGCTGTCGGCGGTTGAAGGTTCGGTTGGAGCATACGCGGCTACGAAGTTGACCGCTCCACGGTGGCCTGCCAACAGAAACCTCATGGCCATAAGGCGTTCGTCGATGAACTCCGTAGTGAACGTGGATGTCTTGCACAGTGACTCTTTGACGGCTATCCCCACACCATGGACTCCACCAGTCTCCGTGCCACAGCAGAACACCCGGAAACCCGCTGCTGCAAATTCCGTTCGACCTGCCCTCCGTGTCTCCTGCATTCCTACCACCGATACGTTTTGTCTCGCTGCCTCGTGTAGAATGCTGTAGGCTCGCCCGTATCCATTGGCCCCGTTTACAGCCAAAGTCCGCACATTCCAGGTTGCTACCCTAAGAAGTTGACCCTGCTGTCTCTTTCGCGCGGCGCGTGCTGCTCTCTTAGCTAGCCTACGCGCCGCCCGACCCCTCCTTCTCCTCCATCTCCCCCTCTTTTTTTGTTTTTTTGCTAATTTTTTGCGAACACTCGGGCTAGTACACGAAGGACAGAAATGTGCATCATCAAGTATTGGGACGAGGCAACCGACTTGTCGACGATTGCAGCTGTTACCGCAAAACTAACTACTTCGAAGTGAATTTTACAGCGACATGAAGAGGAACAAAAGTTGTTGAGTGAGCAGGGTGCCGCACAACAAACATATGACAAACACCACCATTCCTAGATCAGTGGCTAAATACTGAGACGAGACAAAGTTGGTCACACACCGTTTCTGGACATATATTCTAGCTATTAAACATTTTCACGGTTTCAGGTCCCTGTCGTGCAGTCGAGTAAAGGTCCTCCTATAGAGTAAAACTTATCCTCCTAAGCGTGAAGGCCATCAACACTACATACCACAACGAACCAACGCACGCAAGCACGCACGCACCGATAGACGCAAGATTCATCACACGAGCATGAGACGAATGCTACCGCACCCCCGACGTCCCCTGGAATGAACACACACCACCTTAATATGCCCATTTTGCCATCATGTTGTTCTCAGTGGACATGATGTAAAAACGCCTCACGAACTAAACCACAAACTAGCCTTTTTCCGACGAAAACGCGACGAGGGTCACGAACAAAGAAATCGGGTCGAAGAATGCCTAGGTTTTCGAACAACAAACAGCGATCTTAAACACAGAAAAAAACGCGCAAATCGTGTGCCGCCGTATCAAAACCAACACCGGAAAAAAACACGCAGATCGTGTGCACCAAACAGCCAGAACCATAAAAAAAACGTGCAGATCACATCTTTCCAAACAACCAGAACCGACCGTAGACCGTGTCCTAATCGTGTAAGTAAGCCGACACATTCGGATGAGCCTCACCTCAGCAATATCTCGGTGCTGTCGCGAACATCCTGCTTATGCACGGGAACACCTGACGATACAACTGTAAAACGCCTCGTTTTCCGTCTACTCCGCACATCCTTGGTAGGACGATGCAACTTGTCCCTTCACGCGACTCGCCGGACATGTCACGGCGCTTCACGCTTGTGCTGAGATAGGCTGATCCGGCGAAAACCCGGCGTGCTCAGACCGTTATTGAAGGGACGCGAGGTCACGCAGTACGGCGTGCATAACATAACCCTTCTCCTTCGCACAAGTCGAAGAGCATTAAAAGTGGCACATGCGAGGACCTATAATAACCCCCAAGTCCACGTGACGCCGTAAAAATGGCAGGAACCTGACGGCTCCCTCCTCCGACTCATCTATAACCAAATCTACACCAAAGAGTAGGCGCTGGCTGAACCTACCGTACGATGGAGACGGCAAAGTACACTTTGCGCCGTAAATATTGCAAGACCCCGACCCCTCCTCCGAGTCATCATCGCCAAACCTACATCAAGAGTAGCCGCTGGCTGATTTGGACACCTGTCGACAGGTCCTGCATGGCCATGCGCAAGGCAACAGCCAAACTGCGCTGGGCGTGGGCTTGCACCAACTTCGTCGTGGCATCGCCAGAATCCGTTGAAGGCCGCCCCATTGCTCTGCGGACAACCGTGCACACTGCTGTCGATGGTATTGTCCACCTTGTTGCCGACGCAGCAGCCATTACTAGAGCAGCTCCTCCTCAGCGAGGTACATCCTCCTCGCGAAGTCGTCGTCGGAGTCGTCTCCGCCCCGGCCGTCGTTGCCGAGCCCCAGCCTCCGCCTCACCGACGGGGGCAGCAGGCCGTCCCGAAGGAGAAGCCCGTCGTCCCCGTCCCCGTCCTTGCGGCTAATCAGCTGCTTGCGGAAGTAGTCGTAGATCCCGAACTGCTCGCACGTGTGTTTTTATTATTAGCATCGACCGCGCTAACCGGCTGACCAATGAAAAGACGTCAGTCTCAGTGCGGTTGAAAACACTACATGTTTCCAAAGGCCATGATCTGGGACCCCATGAGGGGGCATCACGGGGGAGGCTATGCTACTCTCCGGCCTAAACAAAGACACCGTAGCAGTAACAGAAGAAAACTGCACGTTTACGTGTGAATTTGCACGTGGAACCTGCGGGGAAAAAACTCGTCCGCCAGCCGTTCGCCAGAAAAGAATCCGAGCTTGTTGCCGTTGCAGAGGTACGGCTCGTGGACGAATCGTAAGGCCGAACCACAGTCGTCGGTGTGTGCGGAAGAGAGGACTCCCAGCACAATTACCAGGCACTCAACGAAACGAAACACTCTGTTGGATCCCACGAAGTCCGACCGTGAACTGTGAAAATGGTTGGTCCCGACTGCGTTGCCCGGGACGAAGAGCTCATAAAAACCGTGGTAACGCTTGTGGGGCGGAGGCAATCATTCGTAGCAGGGTGCAGGGAAATCGGGATACTATCCATTCTGAATGCGATGAACGCGGCAACCTTGAACGCTCGCCAGATTCGTACAAAGCTGTGGTAGACACCTGGACAGCTGTACTATATAGACTCGCACGAACCTGAATCCCTATTGCGGGGACGACCGAGACGAGTTTCGCAGGAAGGGAGCTGTACATGGCGCCGAGGCCTTCCTCGTTGACGATGCGGCCCAGCGTTCTGAACGCACCCTTGTAGGGTACGAAGCCGGGCTGGGCTCTTTGGGTCACGACCCGAGTCAACACGGTGTCAAGGGGCAGCATGACGCTGGTGGCGCGGTTTTGAAAAAAAAGAAAGAAAGAAAAAGCGCAAGAAAAGGGAGAAGTTTCAGAGTCAGAGGTTGAAACGCGCGACGCCCGAAGAGAAGAAAAGAAAGCACGACAACTCGAATTCTATTCGGCGGAGCTTCAGCATTCCAGAAACCGGGAAGCGCCAAGAGAAGAGACACAAAAAGGGACATCACGGAACGCAGCAGGAGCACAACGGGTCAAACTGACAACGAAAGAAAACGTCATGAAAAAGCTACCATATCCAACACGACATACAAAAATACTGTGCCCATCGCATGCCCCCGTAACCCCCCCCCCCCC